TCATTGAGCTTGTATCGGATGTGTAGCCGTTGCTCCTTGCAATAGCTTGAACCCCAGCTGGATCGAGCACGTCCATCAAATGATTCACTTGTTGGTCCAGATGTTGCCGACGTTCAGCTTGTTGGTAGACTGCGGACCACCGGCCATCTGGCACTTGTCCGAATGCTGCCCTGTAAGGAGACATCGTATTGTCATCTTGAGTAAGCGCATGATAGGTTTGCCTAATGTCATCTTGTAAGTTGTAGAGGGGCTGCGTGCCATACGGCCCAGGGTTTGGTGTAAACGCCAATCCCTGAGAGGGAGGTCCAATTGGCGCAGCATACTGAGTATGTGGGTTGTAGTCGCTGGGCCCGGCGTACATGGTCGATGTCTGGTAGGGACTGAGACGGTAGCCTGGCTCGAACCCCCGAGTGCAGTCCGTGTGTTGACCACCGGCAGCATCCCGGGCATCAACATTCTGGTGGCTGGATCCGGATTGGAGGTTGTCCCAGGAAGCTGAAGATTCCGAGTAGCCGAACTGACCAGCATAGAGACTGTCCTGGTAGCTTTCGACATCGCTGCGCTCAACGTGCACGTAGCTGCTACCACTCCCGGTCCAGTCCTGATCGGAGTTGGTGGTGTCACTCATGCTGTTGCTCCGGGGACGATCAGCGCTATCACCCGATGTTAGGTGTTGCGGTTACCTTGGTCTTCTTTCCGAATCAGAAAGATCTGGATACGCCATGACAGTGCCTAGGCCAAGCCTGGTTCGTGGCGATGACAGGCCAAAGACTCGTTTTCTCTGGATCGAGGGCGGCGCCTTAGATTTTCTGGTCGAAAGGTTGTCTTCTGAAAGGTCGTGTAGGCGGGCTGGTGGTGGATGCACGCAGTTTGGAAAGAGATCGGATCCAGGAAACTGTTTGCAGCGATGAGGATGATGCACCGAGATGGGTCTGGATGGAAAAAGGAGGGTGTTGTACAACTGTCGTCTGGCAAACACTAGTGGGTGCAGGGGTTGTTGGAGGACCTGGCTGCGGAAAATCTTCTTACTAGAAATCCGGTCGTCAGCCAAAACGACAATACCAGATCTCTGAGTCGAGGATATGTGATAGCCGAAGACGATGGGTGTGTCTTGCGCCAGTATGTAATAGTAGTGGTGGTGATGTCCACGGCGGCCAGGCATGCGACGGCGAATCGCCGAAGGAACAACAACACTCACAAGGAGGCGGTGCGCGGGAGGACCCTTCAGCAATTCATCTGAAACGCATCTACACAAAGTTTCAACCGCTCCGCTCCGCCCTGCCCCAGCGACCTTGTCGATGCGACCCGATAGCACCGCTCGACAGCACTATCACCGCCAAAGACGAGACCTTTTTTCTTGCAATGGAGCCTTGGTCTGGATCGCACGTCGCAAGATTGTGACATCGTTTCTGAACCGATCCATGAACTCCTTGAACGTGCGTCGGAGACAGCAAAACTCCGTTGGTTTTTCGACGAAGCGGTGAGTAACCGCTTCGGTCGGCTTCAGTGAGGTCCTCCCTTGGCGCGATACGATAGGCTCCGTCACCCACTAGCTTAAGGGGTGGCAACATCATCCAGGAGAAAAGAGGAGGTCAATGATGAGGTCTGGGTGTGAGGGTGACCATACCTAGGTACCATCTAGCCAGCAGCAGTAGCACGAGGCTGCGTGGTAGTCCTATGTGTCCCATTGTTGTTCTGTATAACGTGTTGTAGACGTTGCCCTTCTCGCTGAGCCGTCGTGATTGGACCTGCGACAGGGCCCGCTCCATTGATCCTCGTCTCGACATTGGGATCGCGCTACGGGACGGATACACTGGAAATCGTGGCGGAGTGCAAGGCAGACTGTAGGCACCATCAGTATCACCTTCGTTAACATGGACAGCGTGAAGCCGTCTTATGAAGTTGCTTTAGGGGTACACTTGGTTGACTTACCATGGTGAGGGGCCAATTCAGCCTAGGAAGGCTGTATTGAGTCCAAGGATAAACATGCAGGATAGTAACGATCCAGAGCGCTCGATGCGCCACTGACATTCTGCGTGTAGTAGGAGTTCGTGAGTAACTCGAAAGCAGCATCAAGTTCTAAACTGTAGCAGAGACAGACTGCCTTTATCAATCAACCGCTGACCGAGAACTGGCCCCAATATGAAGGGTACCCCTTCGACGCCCCCACCACATGTCACTGGCATGTTGGAGCCTTCCTACATGAGGTCAGCCACCTTGGAGTGGAGGGGCGGGTCCGCGTTCAGCGATAGCTTCATGCGGCGGTTCTGCAACAGCGACTAAAAACACTCGACGCGTCCTCATCTTTAAATGCTTGCGTCCCGAGCGGTATTAGACAGCCACACAGCTTAGTCCAGCTTACATCGATACCTGGCCAATCGTGCGATGCTGTTGTGACAGCTATGGCATTCAGCCCCCAAACAACTTTGCAGCATCTACGAAGTGGGTGTGGGCTAACGGAGTTATGTAACAGCTCGCGCGCGTGGATAGCGCCGTCTTTGCCTAAGCGCCGTTCATACCTCTGTAGAGTGCCAATATCCGGCCACTGTGTGGACATGCTAAGCCACTGTGCATATGTATGCCATCTCAGCGCAGCCCTCACGCCGAACGGTCGCCCACTGATCAAGAAGACCATCTAGGCCGGCGCGACGGGCTGGACACATGATGGATCTCAGCACGGCTTGGTATCGCCTGTTACCACAAATCCAGCTAGCCGGCGCAGCAGCGGTTACCGAGACATGTGTAGAAGGGACATATTCCAAGATCTGAGCGCTGCCTAGGTAAGATACACCCGCCGGTTGGAGTTGTCTATGCTGCAGAAGCCACCGAACTGATCGGTCGATACGAACACCTGTTCCAACATTGGTTTAGAGGTCTCGCTCTTCTCAGCTAGCTCTAGCGAACACCAATCAACACAACCAACAGTTAGTCAAAGTGCGGGCCGCATTCTTGGTGTATGCCGCGACTATGCCGCAATCTAAGTAAACAGAGGAAAGAAGAGGTATGGCTCGAGACCAAAAAACGGCTTTGCGCTGCATCGAGATAGCCCTGGAGCGGATGAGCGGCTAGATGCCCAGGTGAGGCGTAGTTCTAGCCCCACTCATGCACGCCTATCTCTCGACACCATCATCCTTCCAAAGGATGGAGCCGATGCGTAAGAAGGATGTCGTCTGAATTACGTATCCGTCACTAGGTGATGCTGTTTGCAAACTTTTGCGATGTTGGTACATGCACGGCTCCGGAGGTCTGAGGGCAGTGTGTCGGCATTAGGCGCGCCGCCGGGGCTGGCCCCAACGCGACGGGAAGCTATTGCGAATGGCGTTTGCAATACCGCTGACCCAGTGGGCTGGCATTGCTCATCGCACTTGGTAATTGGACGGGACAGTACGCGAATGCGACCGGGCTGGTGGTTCGTTCTTCAGGGATCGATAGCCTGCTTATGGCCCATAAGTTTGAAGGGAAATCTCACTGCGCCACTGTCTTTGGGGGCTCCGCACTCGATTCTGAAGTGTGTTCGCGAGTAACCTTGGTTATATATATATTGAGGACTGCGCCGCTGTGATTTGGACGGTAGTCAGGCCCCTACGTGTGATTATGTGGTGTGCCAAACTCAACAGCGCCGTTTCATGACCCCGAATTGCGTAGGCACCAGCGAAAACTCAAGATCAGGGTGAGAACTCTCACCGCCGGTCGCATCCTCTCAAGAATGGCTCGATGACATCAGCTAGAACGGTTTCGGTAACTTCCCAAGACTAGGGAGACCAAAAACTGTGAACAAAGAGTGAGTTGTCAAAGATCGCTGCAAACGTCAGGAGCCCTTGCGCAAGGAGCAACTCTCCGCAGCCACAGAGAATCTACGCGGAGCGGTGGTAGTTGCCGCGGGCCGCTCGATCTGTTCACCTCGCAACTGCCGTACTCGGGACTGACTGCAATTGGGATGATAGCGTTGCGTTCGAGTTGTGAGTCCAAGGGCTTGCTCGATTCAAAGCGAACTGCATGTGCCACGAGTGCCGAGTACAGCACTAGCTGCGCGATTGTAATGATGGCGCCGTGTGCGAGTCGTGGGGACGAAGGGCTTACTTGATTGACAGCGAACTGCATGTGCCTGAACGAGAAGATCTGGAAAAGCATCAAATCACAGTGCGAAGATGAATTCTGCACTCCGCGGACGGAGAGGGTCGAACCTATGGCGAATCATAGACGGTGTCGATGTGATGTGATTTGAAGCGCGCTTTCACAAGCGAAGATTTACAACTCCGAGTCCAGCACATGATACTTCTACTATCATCGTCATGTCTTCCCATAAAGGTGACTGGAAATGGGTTTACTGGGCGGCGAAGTATCGGCTGTGCTGACCACCATCGAATCTACGCCCGTCGGGCAGTAAGCACAGTCATGAAGGCCGCAATGGCATATGTCACTGTGATAGGATCGACTCTAGATATTTATGTAGTTCTGATTTGCTCCGCCTCTTCCAGACGCAACGATCTTACTCACTCTGGACCGGAGAGTCAGAATTAGGCAAGACTGACCACGATGCCCGATTCCTGTGATGCAGCCGTCTGCTATCTAGAGCCAATATGTGTAGATGTGGTTGATTGATTGCTTTGCATTGGACGTAGTGAGCGGAGTCGCTTGCGACAAGGGATGTTCCTTCGTCATGGCGCATTGAGTCCAGTGTCCAGACTATCGACCTCTGTTGAACTTACGCCCCGTCGAGGCGTGCCGCACTCTTGCAGGTTGATGTAACTTCCTGTGTAATCTGCAAGACTAGCGATTAGGGAACGGGGCCGAGAAAGGGTATGATCAGACAGAACGCATGCGGTCGTCTTCGCGGCCTGGAGAAGGGTGTGTAGTTATAGTCCATGCTTACCCCGATCTGAGACAGTCAATCCCTTTGTTCTCCTGCATTGATCGGTCTCAAAGCTTCTCCACATATCTGACACGCTTGACATCTTTGCGAAAAGATGAAGTGCTTCCAACGTGCCGGGCCACGACCCATGATTGCCAACGATAATAAGCACTGGGACGAAAACAGTGAGCGACGTGCTTACAATGATCGCATCAGTCATATGCGGAAGATCGAGTACCCAATGCTTGAAGGTATGCTCAGACACAATACATCTTGCGCATGTCACTGACGGCACCTAGATCTGACGTACCTCGATCATGGCGGCACGACGCTCGCACCCAAGTCTTTACTCAAGTCCTTCTGCGAAGAGATGCAAAGCACTCTCCTCGCCAATCCTCACTCTGATTCATCCAATCCGAGTGTGACTGCCGTCATGGTAGAGCAAACCCGGCTTGCTGTCTTGAAGATGTTCAACGCCGACCCCGTTCACTTTGATGTCGTCTTCACCGCTAATGCCACCGGTGCCATCAAATTGGTGACAGAAGGGTTCTCTGGATACGAGAAAGGATTCGATTACTGTTATCATCGTAACAGCCATACAAGTCTGGTTGGTGTCCGAGAGCTGGCCAATCGTAGCCACTGTTTCGCATCCAATGAGGAGACAGAATACTGGCTCGCGGGAGCGAACGAATTTGCCTTCAAAGGTCCTCTTGCGGAGAGACCATTGTTGTTTGCTTATCCAGCGCAGTCGTAGGTGGCCTTGCACTTGATGGAAGAAGAGTAGACACTGACGTTATCATCCGCAGGAACATGAACGGCGAGCGACTTCCGCTGGATTGGACAGGCAAGCTACGCTTGTCGTTGCATCATCCGAACTCTTACTCTCTGCTTGACGTAGCAGCCCTAGTATCCACGACCCCAATTGACTTGAGCAACCATCTCTTCGCCCCCGACTTCATCTCCTTATCCTTCTACAAGATCTTTGGGTTCCCGGATCTCGGTGCTCTGATCGTCCGGAAGGCGGCTGGCCATGTGTTCGATCACCGGAAGTACTTCGGCGGTGGCACGACAGAGATGACAACTTGCCTTGGAGAATCATGGGTAGCCCGCAAGGACTCTAGCCTCCATGCACGGTTAGAGGACGGGACGATCGCTTTCCGGAATATTCTTGCTCTGAAGTGTGCTATAACGACTCATCGCGCGTTGTTCGGCGGGCTTGAACAAGTCTCGACACACGCTAGGTGGCTTGCTAGCATCCTTCACGATCGTTTGACGAGCATGATGCACTACAATGGTGCACCAGTATGCCAAGTATACAAGTCGATAGACTCTCACTATCAAGATTCGCAAAAACAAGGGCCGACGATAGCTTTCAACATACAGAGAAGCAATGGCGCATACATCGGCCCGTGGCACGTTGGATCGTTCCTCAGGGCGAGTAGGATCCACGTTCGCACGGGCAACGTGTGCAATCCTGCAGGTATGGCATGTGCGCTGGGTGTAGAGGCTGGATGGATACGGGGTGCGTTCGACGCAGGTCTTCGATGCAATACGGAGGCCGATGTTGTGGACGGAGTGCCTTTTGGGATAGTCAGGGTGACCCTGGGGGCCATGAGTACCTTGGAAGATGTTGAAACGCTCGTGAGCTGTCTTTCGCGGAACGTCGTAGAACAACAGGGGCTCCTCCAAGAGACTGCGCAGGTTCGTGATAAGAGCAAGGAGTGGGTAGAAGAGTCTAGAAGTCCCTCCGCTGTCTCGGAGATGACTACGACCCGGATAGACCCCTCCTCCCTAGGTCATGGGGAGCATACGACCACATTGAAGAACCCGAGGAGCTTGATTTCGTGGCTGAGGAGGAGGAAAAGGTTGTATCCGCGCTTTCATGGGAGAAGGCACATTGGTTGAAAGGTAGTCGGTGAAGAGCATATGTTTTCGGTGGTCTTTCGCGCCTGATCCTAGCTCAGCTATTAGATAACGACGTCATGATATTCCCTTCGCACTGGTCTCCTACCTAGGTACTCGTCCCTTTGTTGATCTCCACATCATCCATATAAATTCGGGCAATTTGTCGTGATTGGTTCGGCGTGGGCCTTTTGATGAAATTGGAATGGACAGCAACGATCGCGGAGAGCCGCCGTATCCTGCCCATGTGGCACGTGATTGCGACAAGTAAGCTAGTCCATAAACAGCTTAGCGTGGTTTTTCCATCCAACCAACCTCCCCAGGCGGGCTGAATGCACCCGCATGCGCGAACGCGATACACAACCGGCAGATGTATGGGGATTTCAGTGTACATGTGGTAAGCAAAAGACATGTGCTTCTCAGATTAGCTCGTGAACAGTGGATTTGTCGTGTGGCTGCTCTACCTAGGTACCCCCGGAGCTAGGCCAAGCCCGCGCGAGCTGCAGATGTCTGGTGGTTTGACGCCACAATACTGAATGAATGCAGGTAGTGTCTTGGCCTGACAGACATGGTAGTCAGGTGCGGCTCGTTTCGCCGTCACTTTGAGACTCTCAGTCCCGAAAAGCTTGCCTTTCTAGAGTAGGTAGTGGACAGCTCGAATCGCAAGGGCAAGCGCTGCGAGCTCCCTGAACCTCACTGTCAATGAGCGCCCAGCTGTCAGATCTTCTACTGAAGTCACGATCAAAAGGTGGGGAACCATAGATTGTCTAAGGTGAGTGTGCCGATTCGAACTTGATTGGCCCCATGCCGCTGTGTAGGTATGCACCTGGGCAATCACTCGCTACATATTGAGCGCTAGTCCCGAACTACAGCAACCACTACGAATGTTGCACTCAACATGTGAGGATTAGGAGCCCCGCACTTCGATCGAGATAGCGGCTTTTCCCATTGCCGATTACGATTATCCCTGGCTGAGCTGCGAACTCCTTGCCTTGCACCAACACTTGGCCAGAGCGGAAGCGGAAGCGGCTCTGCGATTGACCGGCAATCAACGAATCGATTTCGAAGGCACAGTGTCGCGTGTTTCCAACTGCTGTAGCGACAGAATCGATTGCCATCAGCGGCAGTGTGGTCATATACACATGCGCGTTTCTGAATACGATTCCTAGGCCTACTGGAAGCCGTCAGGCTCAAGAATGCGGCTTGTCAATACGTCCACAAGATTTGGTGTTAACGCAGCAGTAATCCAAAGTAAGCGTCGAGGGCAGAGCGAGGATTTTTAATGAGCTTCTTCCACGTAGCTATCGATGCTGCCGGCAGTGGCAAGCCGTGAGGCTCTGTGGTAGCCAGCACAGCACGCACAACTTCGAAGGCAAGGCTGGCTGTCAGCAGGTTGACAAGGATAAGGCAGAATTCGTTTACCACTCTGTCGTGCCGCATCTCGCCAACCGTATGTGCGGAACCCTGACGGTTGTGTGTCTTTGTGCAGTTACCGAAAGGGTTGCGACCTGTCAGCCCGCATCCGTCATGCAGATGTTGAGAGCCAGAGGCGTTCATAGTGATCCAGCCATAGACAAGACCGCGTACGCAGTCAATCTAGTATAAGCGCAGCTGCCCTTCCAAATCCTGTCGCACACCCGAAGGGAGTCTGTTCACCCCGTACGTTTTTCTTCGTCATGAACTGTGCTCGCCAGTGCCACGTCTTCCACTCGTGGAGCCGTTCGCTACTCACTGGAACGATCTTGTCGTCAGCCTGTATATGCACTCAGAAGCGCCTTGAGACTCAAGCGTCAACCATGAGGTTCCTAGCACTCGCTTTACCCGCTATACCTGCGAATACAGCAACTGACTCATGCCGGGTGAGGAGGTCTGCCTCGCGCTCAGCCATTGCCATCAGTTGCAGTACAGTTGACGATCCGGGATAAGAGTGACGTGGATGAGACATGGTAAGAGCATCCTAGATCCAAACTCGCATCCGTTCGTAGGTTTGCCTGCTGCTGGTGGACGTGCGACGGATCCAAGGCGGGTATCTTCTTGCTGACGCGTGTCATCAGTGGCCCGATAGCAGCCTCCGTCGACACAGCGCCGCGGTACTGTGGCCGGCTTTCCATCGCTGACACGGGCACGGCAGGACTGAAACCATAGAGTATGGAGTATCTTCAAGTCGATGCACGCGGTCAGATTGTCCTCTTCATCCATTCGAAGAGTGTCGAACCATACGCAGTCTTCACCTTCGAAATACCGCCTGTCCACCCCAACCCGCCTTGGGCTGACCTTGTTGATGCTCTTTTGCGCGCACATCTGCACAGCCACGTCAATGCTAGTGCACTCGTCAGTACTGGACGAAAAGTGAAGCAGTCGGCCAACACTGGTTCAGGTTTTTGACATCGACGTCTTAGCGAGACAAATGTCGTCAGGTGCTGTCAAGTTCGAGGCGTCCTCTTGGCGCTGGTCTTTGTCGTCGGGCTCGCAGTGGTCACCATCGCTGCGTCACCCAATACCTCCAAGACACATTGTTGTTGCTGCTCATTGCATACTAGACGCCCCTCTCTTGAAATCAATCTTTCTCCGCTACCTCTCTTCTTCCAAAGTTGCCGGCGTCGTCAACGTCGCCTAGCGGACCTCCGAATTCGACTGAAAGTGCAGCCTTCCTGCTCATACCCCCGAGTCGCTACACCACGACACCCAAGCCTCCAGAAGGTTTTTCTCCACGAGCAGCCTGACGAAGGGCACCCTATACACAACAGCAGTGGCATGGAATGCGATATTGAACCCGACTGGCAGGAATGCTGCAGCAGTCTCGATACACAGATGAAGATGTTTGGCGCTACGGGTGGTCTGAGAGAGTCAGCAGCGAGGCACCTGATGGCGGGAATTCAAGAGCATGAGCGAACAACGCCAGAGCATCGTGATACTATCGGTCACCTCGGAAGCTTTGTGCCGAGATCGGTTGTACCAAGTCGCAAGGCATCTAGGAACGTCGGCGGCCGGTACATAACCCAACAGTGGCAGTATGACATGCCAACGTACGATGCATGTAACCCGGGTGGGAACTACGTCGACTATGCAGACTCCATGATGCCTATGCGGGCTGACAAGTACGAACGGATTCCCCCAACACAGCCAGCGATGGGATGCAATGATCAATACCCTCAGGCAAGCTATTGTCCAAGCGAACCGTGGAACGTGTCAGTACTGTCGAATCCCCAAACGTATTCCCATCATAGACGTAATGCAGTACCAACCATCAGCATCGACTCGCCAAATGGCGAGAGTGGGGTGACTGGATCTAGAGCTGCAGGCGGGTGCACATCATACTGCAATGCAGCAGCGACCACATCAACATTGTCAACGTACTGTCTGTCAGAACATGAAGCACAAGTGGAAGGTTGGTCGGGTTCGTATCTCTCTCCGGAGACATATAGTCAGGCTTCCTCATCTCGACGGAGCTCAATGGGTTCAATAGCCTCCGCGCCGAGCCGACTTGCAGTACTGTCATCTGATCATACGGCAACACCTACAGAGTATCGTGGCTGGCAGTCACTCAGTACGTCGCCCAAGTAAGTCAGTGCCCTATGCAAGCCAAGAGAAAACGCTGAACTTTGTACAGCATCATGGACCCACTGGAAGTCCAGCAACCCCGGTGCGACCGGTCTATACCTTCGCCCTCCACAATTATGAGCCGCGAGACTTCAGCGCATCATGGAGCCCGGCTGTACTGCTCTGAGCCTGATTGCCGTGCCACATTCCAAGGGTCCTACGCGAAGGGCAGTCTTGCACGTCACCGGCGACTGAAGCATGGTAGCCATCAAGATCGAGATGGGCGAGAATACGACTGTGAAGAGCCTGGATGTTCGAAGAGCTACAAGCGTCAAGACGCACGCTTGAAGCATTATCGCAAGGTTCATCGCCACCTCGCTCCTGGTCCGGCACTATCGCGCACCAAGTATCGATCTGTGTGATTGTGCTGTGGCATGTACACCAAGTTCCTTTCTCGTTACGCAAAAGTCGTAAAGGTGTCAAAACTGATATCAGATCACTCCTTGATATCCCGATGCCTTCGAAGGGACTTTGCTGGGTCGCACCCAAATCACAATCTTTAATCTTCTCTTCATTGTCTTTGTGTTGCAACGAGACGTTGCGTATAACTTCGTGTTCGAGAAAATCATTGTGTTCTCAGTCCATCGGGACCATGAGTACAAGAAAAAAGATTCTGGGCGTCTGGCGTAATGGGTGCATACGTTTGATCGAGGCGGAGGAACGCGGAGCGTCGAGAAAGAAAGGCAAGAGGACTCCTTGTCGGCAAAGCCATTTCCTTCAGCGAAATGGCGGTTATTGGCATCTTTGTGTCGTTGACATCGCGAGGGTCGTGAATGGCTCGTTGCCTATGGGTCATCGTCTTGTTCATCGTACGCATCATGGAACGGCGATGGCGGTCGGACAGGATACGCGTGCGTAGGGAGAAGGTCCATCATGGCGTCGTTGGGGCTACCTAGGCATGCTAGGAACGAAGGTGTCGGGGAGAGGAGGTTAGCAGTCAAGACGTCGCCAGGTCGGAGCGTCAGCGAGGCTCGCCTGCCCGCGGCGGCTTAATTTTAGTGGACCAGCGACACGCGCCATGGCACCTCAAAGGACGCTCATCGACTCGTCGACTCAATCGAAAGGAGGGCTTGCCATCTGAGCAGCGCTCAAGCCTGCCACCCGCCTACTTTTGGTCTTTTGCCTCATTCTGGTGTCAGAGACGAATGGCACCCTGCAGACGATCTGCAGTAACATGCCAGTGCTTGGCCGCTGAGAACCCCGGGAAAGCCAGTGAGCACCGTACATGACACGACCGGGCTGTACAAGTTGTCGCAGTATGATAGGTTGAGGATGTTGAGAATTTCATACAATGAACTTTCCAAGATCTGTGGTGGTTGGGCGGCGAAAGGGAAGGCGTGATGAAGCTTGGAAAGGGAGAACGATAGGGGTCCACGAGCGCCTGTGGCGACTGTGCTACGCAAGCCACGACCCCTAA